ATGATCAAGTTGGCTTTATCCCAGAGATGCAGGGATGGTTTAACATATGAAAACCTGTCAACGTAATCTATCATATAAAGAAAAAGAACCACATGATCATCTCATCAAATGTTGAAAAAACTTTTGACAAAATCCAACTCTCCTTCATGATAAAGGCTCTGGAGAGATCAGGTATACAAGGAATGTAGCTAAATATAATAAAAGCAATATACAGCAAGTTGACAACAAACATTAAATTAAGTGGAGAGAAATTTAAAGCAGTTCTCCTAAGATCAGAAACAAGACAAAGCTGTCCACTCTCTCCAAATCTACTAGAAACAAGACAAGGTTGTCCACTCTCTCCATATCTACTAGAAACAGGACAAGGTTGTCCACTCTCTCCATATCTACTAGAAACAAGACAAGGCTGTTGACTCTGTCCATATCTACTAGAAACAAGAGAAGGCTGTCAACTCTCTCCATATCTACTAGAAACAAGACAAGGCTGTCCACTCTCTCCATATCTACTAGAAACAAGACAAGGCTGTCCACTCTCTCCATATCTACTAGAAACAACACAAGGCTGTCCACTCTCTCCATATCTACTAGAAACAAGACAAGGCTGTCGACTCTCTCCATATCTACTAGAAACAAGACAAGGTTGTCTACTTTCTCCATATCTACTAGAACAATAAGACAACAAAAGGAGATCAAGGGGATACAAATTGGAAAGGAAGAAGTCAAACTTTTATTATTTGCAGATGATATGATAGTATACATAAGAGACCCCAAAAATTCTATTAGGGAACTCCTATAGCAGATAAACACCTTCAGCAATGTGGCTGAATACAAGATTAATTAAATCAGCAGCCTCCTATATACAAATGATAAATGGGTTGAGAAAAAAGTCAGGGAAACCACACCCTTTACAATAGCCAGAAATAATATAAAATATCTTGGGATAACTCTAACCAAACAAGTAAAAGACCTGCATGACAAGAACCTTAAGTCTTTGAAGAAAGAAATTGAAGAAGATATTAGAAGATGGAAAGATCTCCCATGCTCATGGATCAGTAGGATTAACATAGTAAAAATGGCAATCTTAGCCAAAGCAATCTACAGATTCAGGCAAATCCCCACCAAAATCACAGCACAATTCTTCACAGACCTCAAAAGAACAATCCTGAACTTCATGTGAAAGAACAAAACAAAACACCCCAGGATAGCTAAAACAGTCCTGTACAATAAAGGAACTTCTGGAGGTCTCACCATCCCTGTAATACAGACTGCATGATACTGGTATATAAACAGACAGGTGGATCAATAAAATTGAATTGAAGACCCTGATATAAATCCACATACATATTTATTTATTTTAGTTTTGTGAGACAGGGTTTCTCTGTGTAAAAGCCCTAGCTGTTCTGGAACTAGCTCTTGTAGACTAGGCTGGCCTTGAACTCCCAGAGATCCACATACCTCTGCCTCCCGAGTGCTGGGATTAAAGGCAGTGTGCCACCACTGCCTGGCAATCCACATACTTATAAACACCTGATATCTGACAAAGAAGCCAAAATTATATTAGGGAAAAGAATAAGCATCTTTAACAAATGATGCTGGTCTAACTGGATAGCAGCATGTAGAAGAATGCAAATTGATTCATATCTATTGCCCTGCACAAAACTCAAGTCCAAGTGGATCAAAGATCTCAGTGTAAATCCAATTACACTGAACTTAATAGAAGAAAAAATGGGAAGTAGCCTTCAATACTTTGGCACAGGAAACCACTTCCTAAATATGACAATAGCACAGACACTGAGATCAATAATTAATAAAAGTGACCTCCTGAAATTGAAAAGCTTCTTTAAGGCAAAGGACATGGTCAACAAGACAAAACAACAGCCTACAGAATGGGAAAAGATCTTTAGCAACCCCACATCAGACAGAAGGCTGATCTCCATAATATATAAAGAACTCAATAAATTAGACATAAAGGTATCAAATAATCCAATTAAAAATGGGATACAGATTTAAACAGAGAATTCTCAACAGAAGAATCTCAAATGGCTGAGAAACACATAAAGAATTGTTCAATATCCTTAGCTACCAGGGAAGTGCAAATTAAAATGACTCTGAGATACCATCTTACACCTGTCAGAATGGCTAAGATTTAAAAAAGTACTGAGGACAGTGTATGTTGGAGAGGATGTGTGGAGAAGGGGAACATTCTCCACTGCTTGTGGAAGTACAAACCTGCACACCCACTTTAGAAATAAGTATGGTGGTTTCTCGAAAATTGGAAATCAATTTACCTCAAGACCCAGCTATACCAATATTGGGCATATATCCAAGGATGCTCAATCATACCAAAAGGACACTTACTCAACTATGTTCATAGCAGCATTATTGTCCTTCGACTGAAGAATGGATAAAGAAACTGGTAAATTTATACAATGGAGTATTACTCAGCTGTAAAAGGCAATGACATCATGAAATTTGCAGGCAAATAGATGGAACTAGAAAAAAAATCATCCTGAGTGAGGTAACCCAGATTCAGAAAGACAAACATGTTATGTACTCACTCATAAGTGGATGGATATTAGATGTAAAGCAAAGGATAACCAGGTTACAATCCATAGCCTCAGAGAATCTGGGTAACAAAGAAGACCCTAAGAGCGACATAAGGTTTTCTCTGGGAAAAGGAAATAGATGAGATCTCCTGGGTAAACTAGGAGCTGGCAGGGAGGGGGGTTGGAAACATGAGGGATCTGTTTGGTTAAGTTGTGAGTGGGATGAAGGGGGAGAATAATGAAAGAGATATCTTGATAGAGGGGGGCATTTTGCGGTTAGGGAGAAGCCTGGTACTTAGGAAATACTCAGGAATCCACAAGGAAGACTCCAAGCTAAGACTCCAAGCAATAGTGGAGAGGGTGCCTGAACTGGCCTCCTATAATCAGATTGGTTACTACCCTAATTGTCAACAGAGAGCCTTCATTCAGTAACTGATGGAAGCAGATGCAGAGATCCACAGCCAAGCACTGGGCCAACCTCTAGGAGTCCAGTTGACAAGAGGGAGGAGAGATTATAGGACAAGGAGGGGGGGTCAAGATCATGATGGGGAAACCCACAGGGACAGCTGACCTGAGCTAATGGGAGTTTATAGACTCTGGACCAATAGCTAGGGAGCCTGCATGGGGCTGACCTAGGCCCTCTGTATATGGATGACAGTTGTGGAGCTTGGTCTGTTTCTGGGGCCCCTAGCAGAGGAGCAGTGGGATTGGGACCTATTCCTGGTCTTTGACTTAGCGTTTTGGAATCCATTTCCCATGCAGGGATGCCTTGCCCAGCCTTGATGTAGGGGGACGAGCTTGGTCCTGTCTTAATGTGATACGACATGCTTTGTTGACTCCCATGGGAGGTCTGCTCCTTTTTGAACAGAGGAGGAGTGGATGGGGAGATAGACAGGAGGTGGGGGGAAGGGAATGGGAAGAAAGGAGGGAGGGGAAACTGTGTGGTTGGTATGAAAAATAAATGAAAAATTTAATAATTTTTTTTTAAAAAAAATGAAATAATGAGGGCTGGAGAGATGGTTCAGTGGTTAAGAGCACTGGCTGCTCTTCCAGAGGACCCAGGTTCTATTCCCAGCTCTGACATGACAGCTCACAACTGTCATGAGCTCTAGGCCATCAGACATCCTCACACAGAAACACATGCAGGCCAAACACCAATGCACATAAAATAAAAAGTTTAAATACGTAATAATATAAATAAGTAAATATTTTGGGATTTACTATTCAATTCATTTATTTAAAATCGAAGAAGCAGGGGCTGGCAAGATGGCTCAGCGGCTTGTCAAGCCTGGTAGCCAGAGACTGACCCCTGGTACTCGCAGAGCGGAAGGGGAGAACTGACTCCCGCAAGTTATCTTCTGAAGTCTACCTGCTGCTGCACACATGCACACACGTACTAAATAAACCAAGAATCGCAACTAAAACTTAAACATTGAAGAAGCAGAAGTCTGGGTGACTTCTCTTCTTTATTTTTACAAGAATATGTCACTTCCCGGTGGACTAACGTTCATATTTTGCCCATGTTTACCACTGAGCTGGGTCACCTCTAGTTAGACACTGGGTGGAGTCATTCTGAGGTTTGCTCTGACCTCAGAAAGGATGCTCTCAGCTGCTTTTTTGCTTTTTTCAATGTTTTTTTTTTCTGGTGATGAGGTGACCTGTGGATTAGCTGGTTGCTCTATTAGAGATACCTTTGAGTTACCCCCAAATCCCTGCTGTTTTCTGGAGCAATCCTAGGCTTCTTCTCCCGTGTACAGACAGTTTCAGTGATCTTTAGGCCACTTGTATCCTAGGTGAAACCGTAAGAGCAGTGGGCAGGGAGAGCGGCCTGTTCCTCTCAGGGTGGCACCTCTTCATGAGGAAGTTGCTGACTGTGGGCAAGCCCTTTGTGTGGTTTTGGCTTCTCTCTCTCTCTCCCCATCAACTTTCATGGCTTTCTTCTCTTGCATGGAACCTGTGACCCAGAAATAAGCAGGGGAAAAAGCAATCAAGGCCCTGGGGTTCTGGACCTAATGGCTGGTGGACAGAGCTGCCACTGTTTGCAGGGGATGGGTGGAGAAAGGATGGCAGCCTCTTGACTTCCTGACTGCATTCACCAGGTTTTAGCCGCTGTAACCCAGAGCTTAGGGAATGCAGGGATGAGGTGGGGCCGGGCTTGGTGGCCTTTCTGGATGAAACACTGTGAGTCACGGGGAACAAGAATCCTGTTTTCTTGACTGTATCCATCTCTGTGTGCCAGGGTGTGGGGGAGAAGACGGGTTGTTGCCCTAGCTTTGTTTTGGAGAGAGTGTTTGTAACAAGTCTGTTTCATCAGGAAGCAGACACGCTGTTTGGGAAGTCTCAGAATCTTTTCATTTACTTGCTGGTTTGTAGATTTTTTTTGAAATGGAGAAATAACTATTCTCCAAAATAACCAAGTGATTTTCCCTTTATGAAAGCTGGTTTGTCTTCTCTTTTCCTATGCAACACTTCATGGATTTGCGTGTCATCCTTGTGTAGAGGCCACACTAATCTTCTCTGTATCTTCCCAATTTTAGTAAATGTGCTGCCGAAGTAAGCATGTCATTTTATTATTAAGTTCTAAGAGTTCTTTTCACATTCTGGATATAAGTCCTTTAACGCATATGTTCTGACATAAACGTTTGCCTTATTTTTCAGAGAGCAAGAGAGAAGATGATCTCAGAGGTCAGAAGAGAGCATCAGGTCTCTGGACCGAAAACTGATGTGGATTCTGGGAACCAAACTCAGGTCCTCTGTAGGCGCAGTATTTCCTTTTAATGATGGGCCACCCCCCACCCGCCTTTGTCACATACATGATTTGCAAATATTTGGCTTCAAGTTTTTTGTTTTGTTTTGTTTTGGTCCTCTTAGCTATTTGCTTATTATAGTTTTTTTTCCTTTCTTCTTTCTTGGTTTTTAGAGACAGCATTTCTCAGTGTAGCCCTGGCCATCCTGGAACTTGCTTTGTAGACAGACCAGGGTGGTCTTGAACTCACAGAGATCCACCTGCCTCTGCCTCCCAAGTGCTGGGATTAAAGGCGTACACCACCACTGCCCAGTTCATATGTTTCTTTATTTTATTTTATTTTTTATTTATTTTTTTCGAGACAGGGTTTCTCTGTAGCTTCGGAGCCTGTCCTGGAACTAGCTCTTGTAGACTAATCTGGCCTCGAACTCACAAAGTTCCGCCTGTCTCTGCCTCCCGAGTGCTGGGATTAAAGGCGTGTGCCACCACCGCCCAGCGATATATGTTTCTTTATAAACAATGGAAGACAAGCAACTGCTAAAACTAATAATGATCTCCGTGTCTTCCTTCCTTTGGATTGGGTTACAGAAAGAGCTACCAAAGGTGGAGAGGTGTCGGCGAGGAGTTCTGTGGTTACCCAAGGCTGGGGAAGTAGCTCAGTGTGAGAACACTCACTTAGGGTGCAAGAGGTCTGGGGCTCTACCAAGGACACCACCAAAACAAAAACTGGCTGTAACAGTGTCACACGATCTACAAAGTTAAATTTTATCCAGAAAGTTCTGCGCAAGAGTGAGGAGAGGGCTGTGAGCTGTGGCCAGAAGAGCTGACTTGCGGCAAAAGAGCCATTTCATAGTTCTGGTTAACTTATCATCAAATCTACATGTGCAGACTTATCAATCATATGCAGGCTTTTGTTTTCTTCTCCAAGGCAAGCTCTTATGTATCCCACGCTGGCCTCCAGCTAGCCATGCAGCAGGGCTCCTTGAACCCCTGGCAATCCTGCCTCTACCCGCCAGATGCTGGCATTACAGGTGTGGCTAACACACCCAGTTTATGCAACATCGGGAATCAAACCCAGCTACACCCCAGGCTCCTAAGTCGGCTTCTGTTTAATCCTTTTTGTAAATTGCAATATTGCTATAGACAAGGTGGACATAAGTTAAGAATTTTTCTCTTTGGGGTCCAAAAATGTAAAGAAAGCCATTCTTTTACTGACTCGGGTTTAACTTCTGGGTTAGAGCAATGGCCAAGGAGCATGGGGCTCTGCTAATAGCCGTTAGTTGAAAGTTTGAGAAACAAGGTGGAGTTGGGAAAGAGGCCCTAGGGGACCTGAATCTGCCCCTGTATTTGGGGACAGGATCTATCATGGCCTTCCCAGGCCCTACTCTGGGACTATGAACAAATAGACTGAATCTGTACCAGCCGCTGCTCAGGGACCCCCACCCCCACCCCCAAGGAGTCAGGATGAGTTTGGCTCCAGGCACTGCGATTTATTTAGTTATTTCATTTTGAGAAAGGATTTCTTTGTGTAACCCAGGCTGTCCTCAAATCTGGAATCCTCCTGCTTCTGCATCCTGAGTTCCGGGATTGCAGGCGTGGGCTGCCACATCTGTCCGCCCTCTTGCAAACACTGAGCAGGAGTTGCTACCCTCGGATACCCATACTTCTTATAAGAGTACAGTGGGTTGGGAACTTGCGGTGTAATAGCAGTAAACCCCATCCTTTCTCCACCCCTCCCCCAATTCCCTCCACACTGGCTAGGTCACACATAGAGATTTTTGTCTTTTGGTGGGGGGGGGGGATTGGAGATATGTGTCAGGTACCAACACAGCCCTTCCACATAAGAAAATAACCAGCAACAGGAAGGAACAGTAGTGCTGCCCGAGACCCCTTGCCAGGCCCCTCCTGACTAGCTTGCCTGATTGCTGTCACCATGTCACCTTGAACTCTGTCTATGGGTTCTGCTACCCACAGGGAGGGATGGACAAAGTCTGTTTATCCCGAGGCTTGGCAGCGGGTGAAATAGCCTGAGAACAAAGGTGCGTTCTGGCATCCTAGAGCCAGTTGTCAGAGGAACACAGCCCCACGGTGACAGAGCAGCCAGTAGACAAGGAAGTACACACAAGTCAGGGGCACTCCCCGAGTCTTCCTCTGTTTACTGGCAAAAGCCAGATTTCTGAAGGCTGACAGGAAATAAAGTCTCCCTGGAGCTGGCAGGAACGCTGGCTTTGAAACCATGAGAGCAAATCTGAGTGCTGAGGGATTTAGTTAATACTCAAGCCATCTCGACAGACAATTTGCCAATTTGGTGTCTTGGGGCCCATTGTTTTAGTTTAATGACTCCAGGGAGGGCACGAGTGTCTCATCCTGGCAGCCAGCAGTATCCTAGAGTATCCTATAACCATCCTGGCAGGAATGAAGGTAATCTAAAGAGACACCTGTACTCTCCTCTCTGCAATAATGGACCTGAAAAAATTGTAATTTTCCTTAGGAGCTCTTGGGAGAAGGAAAATTCTGGGAAGCTGGTGCCAGCCAGAGGGCCTGTTTGCTTTCTGGAAAGAAAATCTCACACAGTCTGGCAGCCTGTCAGCTCACTTTGCCAGAGAGATTGGAGTCCAGATGGTGATGATGGGCGGGACCACACCTTGACCAGGATTCCTTAGCTGAGCAGAATTCTTGTCCTCCATTTAAACCTGAGCCTCATGTCAGGACCCAGTGGTGGACTTCTGAGCTGTCACAGGCTCTGACCTGTACAACTCCAGTTAGCTGGAGTAGAACAAAGCAAACTGCCCATTACTCCCTTGGCCAGGCCTGCCTAGACTCCAGAGGAAACAGTCTGTATTAAATTCAGTTGCAAGATGAAGTCTGCTGGAGTGGCCATCCCCATACTGGCTTAGTCAGTGCCCCTGTTTCCTTCCCATCCTCTGAAGCTCTCTATGAGCTTGTAACGGGGTCCTATGTTCCTCTGAAAACTTGGCCCACCTTGGGGCTATGAATAAAACCAGTGTCCTGACCCCAGGAAGGGAGGCACAAGGCTGGTGCCTCCTGGGACACAGGCCCTCTGTGCAGGTTCTATACGAGGGAGTCACACTTCCAGCTACCACATCCCCAGACTCCCAGGGACATAGCCAGCTGCAGAAGAGGGCAAAGGCAGTTAGGGTGGGCAGCAGCTCCATGTTAGGCTACTGAAGGGTCTTGGAGCAGGTTGGCCCTCAGGACACAGGACTCCCTTGAGGCCTGAAGCCCAGAGCCTAGGTGAATCTGGGTCTGGTTCACATAGGCACTTCTAGTTTGTGGACTAAGGCCAAGAAGACACGCAAAAGCCAGCTCATGCCCAGTGCCCCGCCCTTGCGTGTCTCTCTGCTCCTTCAGCCTCAGGGCAGGAGACATCTGAGTTTACTCAGGTACAGCTACTGGAGAACTAAATCATGACCCTAGAGATAAAGGTAGGACCACCGCGGCAGAAAATCGTCCACTATCACGCAGGTTGTTTAAAAGGGTGCTCAGGGTCCCTTCGTCCCCAACAGAAGCTCCCTATCTCAAGTCCCACACATCTTTGCCTCTGTTCCTGCACAGACACTACCCTGTGGATAATTTAGCTACTAGATAGGATAGACACTCCCTTCCCTGGGGTGATCACAGAAACTTCCAGCCCAGAGTCCAGAGATGGAAAACCCTCACCTCGTATTCTTATTCTTTTTCCTTAAAGGGAATAATGACTTGGTTCAAGGCCATACAGCTTAATATTCTGACATATTAATATTAAGGACAGTCGTAGGCATAACTGATTAAATGAAATAAACAGATGTGAGCCCACGCATACATGAATAAATATACACAGAAACAAACGCCTGTGGAGGGGAAGCATTTATTTCTAGAATCATCTCAGATTGCCGCTAGGCAAAGACTACCGAACTAGTCACCTCAGTCAAAGTTTGGAGATCTGTGCTAAACTCAGGGGGTAAAATTTGTATTATCTCCAAATATCTCCCCTCAAATGTTTATTAACTATGAAAGGGAAAACAGTAACAGTGACAGCAGAAAAATCCAGCAGACACCAACTTAACCAAATGAACAATATTCATATTGCTAGCAATTAAGACCCTGTCAGCATTATATAGCTGGCTTGACGCTGGGAAAACATAACACTTCAGCTGCATTCTTATCCCAAACTGCATAGGTGGGAAAATTATACAAACCCAAGTTGGGGGGCATTCATTAAAACAACACAGAAGACACATCATGGTCCCAAAAGATCAGGAAAGGCAGAAAAACCGTCTCACACTGGAGACCAGGATGTGACAGCAAAGTGTGGTGGGACGATGGACCGGATCAGAACACAGACATGCGACGCTAGTGGTACTTTGACCAATGTTAATTTCCCTGCTTAAATAAATGCATTATGGGCAATTTAAATTGATAGTGTCAGATCTGGGTGTGGTGACACAGTTGGCTATCCCAGCATGGGGGTGGGAGGCAGAGTCAAGAGGAGCCCTATCTGGATGATACAGTGAGTCTGAGCTACAGAGCGAAACCCTGTCTGAGAAAAACAATAAAGAAATTGCTAAGGTCAGAGGAAGCTAGCTGTATGTGTAAGCTAGCTGTATGTGTAAATGGTCTGTATTATTTTAATAACTTTTCTTTGAATCATAAGTTATTTCAAAATAAGGATAAGAAATTTGATTCTTAGCAGCTACAGAGACTGAATGGCTTGTACCACACACACAGCCCCTAAGGGAGGAAATGACTTGTATGTGGAAGCCCACAGAGACAGGTGTACACAAGGGAGCCACAGTCCAGACACCAGATTCCCAT